CTCGCGGGCTCAGGACCGGGGCTCTGGAGACCGCCCTCGGCCGGGGGCCGGCCGCAGCCTCCAGGGGAGGGCGGAGCGGCATGGAGGAAGATTTTCCCAACATGGTCAGCCCCGCTTCAGATAGCTTCCCAGGGCGCAGCCACAAGCATTTGGTCATCGATCAAGATGACATCTTCGCGGCTGAGAGTAAGATCTTCGACTTAGACGAGCTTCCTGGGCGCGACCGCCTTGTCGACGCCAACGGGGCCTCGGGCACTCCGGGGGGCGGCAACCCCTTACAGCGCTCTTCCTCCGGGGGGGGGGGCAGCCGACGCTTCAATCGCGAATTCAAGACTCGCCGTCACATAGCGTGGACACAGTAGGTGCGGGGAGGGGGAGAAACAACGGCGTGGAGGAGAGCAAGAGTGCGGGCCCACCCGTGTCGCAGAGCCGCGCGCCCACCCTGACGCTCCCGGACTATTTTACGTCTCCCTCGCTGGCGGAGTTGCGGCGGATGGATGACGCCCAGCTTCGGCGGGTCCGAAACTTCTGTGTGACGCGCGAGGGTTACGGAAAGATCGAGTGGGAGGGGGAGACGGACGTTCTGGGGCTCAATCTGGATGAGCTGGTGAGGATCGAGGCCAAGGAGGTGCGCGTGTACGACGACGTCCCCGTCAAGGACGAAGAGGGAAAGAAGCTGAATAAGCCGGCGGTGGTAACCCTCTTCTCGGTGCGTCACCGTCGAAAGAGCCCGGAGGAATACGGAGAGCACCTTCGGGAGCTCTGCCGTGGATGGGACCGCGTCGAGTTCCTGGACTACCAGTCCGAGACGGGCCGATGGACGTTTAAGGTCAGCCACTTTAGCAAGTACGGGGTGGAGGACGAAGACGATGAGGAGGAGGGGGGCACAACGGGGCATGAGTTGCGGAAGGGAAAGGGGGGAGATGAGGCAGACGGCGACGGACGTGTGGGGCAGAAAATGGCGCAAGAGACGGCCTCCGGCCTCGGTACTGGAGATTCCGGCGCGCGGACCGGCGGGTATGGAATCCCTGACTCGGACGAGGACGATAAAAGCGTCACCGCGGAGGAAGTCGAGCTCGTTGAGGATGGCTTTGAAGACGAAGGTAACGAAGTGGAAGGCGTGCTGTCAGAGGAGGAGCGGGGGGAGGAGGAAGTCATGGAGATGCCTCCTGTGGGGGGGCGTGCACCGCCGTTGTACGGTCTGGAGGCAAGTCGTATCAAGACTCTGGTTGGAATATTCGGGGTGGAGGAGGAGGATGACACGGAGGGGACGGAGGCTTACGGGCGGCGGGCGCGCGCCGAGTCCGAGGAGCGGCCCTTGTCCAGCCTGGAGGACGACGGGGGATTTGGCCGGAGGGACCTTTTTTCATTCTCAGAGGGTCGCAACGACGGCGTGTTGATGGTTGAGGACTCGGTGGAGGAGCGCGCCATTGCAATGGCCCCATCGCTTCCATCTGCGCGAGCGGTGTCCCGCGTCGCCCCCGCCCCGAGCGCCAGCCCTGCCTTGGGCTTCGTGGCCCCCTCCCTGATGCGCGGATGCGGTGCAGTGAAAACATCGCCGACGGACGATACTCTGCTCGCTGTGGCGACGGGGAGGCGCGCTCGCGAAAGGGCTGGCGAGGAGGGGGGCACGGGCCGGAAGCCGGTCGATTACTCTGCCTTTATGGGCCGCTCTTTCCGCGTGGGGTGGGGGCCGGACGGGTCTTTGGCCGCGCCCTTTGTGGGCCGCGTGGTGCGCCCAGGGATGGCGGCCAAGGTAGAGGCGCAGGTACTCGTAAAATCTCTGGCGGTGACGCCCGAGGAAGCAAGGACGAAAGGAGGGGTGGAAGGGCTAAGGGGCTACTTGGGCCCATTGGGTGTGCACAAGGCATTCGCCCGAGGCGTGGAGCCGGCGTCCGAGACGCGCGCCCCCCGAGCGGGGTTCCGTGCCGGGGGATCGCCAGCGACGGGGGATGTGGACGTGGGCCTCTACCATCACATGGTCGACTGCCTACACGCACTTGCCACGGAGGCGACTCGTCGCGAAGACGACGCAAGCCGGCAGACCTGGGAGCTGTTCAACGCCTTGTGGGGGCAGGAGGGAGGTGGAAAGGCGCGACCGTTGCCTCTTTCAGGCTCCCTAGGGGCCCTGTGTCAGGTGCTGCTCCCGGACGGGGCGAGTCACAACGACTGGGAGCGACGCTGCCAGGCGGTCTGCCGGTGGCTGAAACGGATCGTCCGGCGTGAGGTGGAGGACCTGCCCGTGCGAGGCTCAGGCGACGAGAGCGCGGACTTGCGAGCCGTTCTCGACCTGATGAAGAGTCATCGCATCACCGATGCCGCTAGTCTGGCGTCCAAGTCGGGCTTCCTCCGCCTGGCAACACTCATCCCCTTGGCAGGGCACAAGCCTGCCACTGACTACCTGCGGCAACAGCCTGCCTTGCGGCGTACCGTTCAGGATCCTGCACTGGCGGCCATCTATGGACTGCTGAGTGGGACGGGCAGCGAGGCAAACGAGACGAGCGACGAGGGGCCGAAGGCCGGACTGGATTGGATGCGGCGCCTGGGGGAGTATATGTGGTTTAAAACTGACGGACGCTCTCCGGGGGCCGGCAGTGCGGGGGCTGGAGACGACGACACGGACCGCCTCATCTTGGCGATCGAGGCGTTTGATGATGAGATGCCCTCTCCCCCCTTGCCTGCGTGGTTGCGAGCGAGGTGGGAGAGAGGGCGGGGCCGGGCGTGGCATGACGCCCGTGTGGGACCGAACTCTCTCTTCTACGACCTCCTGCAGATGTATCGCTCCGAAGCTTATCCCCTATCCTTGGTACTTGATCCGCGCGGCTTGACCGAGAATGAGCGGGACTACCGGCTCTCGTGGCTGATGCTCCACCCTTTTGGGTGCCTTGAGTATTGGCCACCCCACAGGACCGGAGGCTGTGGAGGCGGCGACGCAGATTTGGATGCGGGTCACGTCAAGCCTCGTGTTCCAACTCGTGGGGATGGGTCTCTGGCCGTGGGCAGTTTACGTCCTCTTGCACGCCCCAGAGACGCCTGCTCGCACAGACGCCGTCAAGGATCTGGTTGGCCGTTTCGGATGGGCCTTTCAACCAGGGAGCACTGACTGGAGCTTCCTGGTCGACGAGTTGGGGGTCCCGGCCGCCTGGCTGGAAGACGCACGAGCCACCTATTTGAGGGCGCAGGGCGTGCTCTTCCTAGACGAGGGGAAAGGTGCCTCGGCGGACGACGCGCTGGGGCACTTCCTGCGCGCGGGCGACACAAAAGCGGCGGCGGAACTTATCATGAACGTTGTTGCCCCCCGCCTATTGATTGACGACCGCGGTCCCGAGCTCCACGCGCTGCTGGCAGGCTTTCTGGGGCCCGAGCGGGGAGAGCTCACAGATGCGACCATCAACAGCGGGAATAAGGCCTGCTGGGCGTACTTGGAGGTCTTGGAGGCTCTTCGTCACCTTGAGGACTCTTGGGGAGAGAAAGAGGCACCAGCGCCCGCTCACTTCGAAGAGCAATTGATGGCGATCCTGCCGAGCTTGGTAGACGG